GTTAATAGTACCACTTTTTTTTGTTAAATATTACCACTATTTTGATTATGAGTACCACTTTTTTGATTAATATTATCATTTTTTTGTTTAACAATACCACTGTTTGGTTAAGAGTACCACTTTTTTTGTTAAAATTATCATAATTTTGGTTAAAAGTACCACTATTTTGGATAATATTGTCACTATTTTCGTTAAGATTACCACTCTTTTGATTAACAATACCACTATTTTCGTTAAGAGTACCACTGTTTTGGATAATATTACCATTTTTTTTGTTAACCTTACAACTGTTTTGGTTAAGAGTACCATGTTTTGGATAATATTACCATTTTTTTGGTTAAGAGTACCATTTTTTAGGTAAGCATTACCACTATTTTGGTTAAGAGTATCACTGTTTTGGTTAATAGTACAACTTTTTTTGTTAATATTACGACTGTTTTGATTATGAGTTTCACTTTTTCAGTTAACATTACCACTATTTTGGTTAAGAGTACCACTGTTTTAGATAATATTGCCACTGTTTTTGTTAAGATTACTACTCTTTTGTTTAACAGTACCACTGTTTTCGTTAAGAGTACCACTTGTTTGGTGAACATTACCACTGTTTTGGTTAAAAGTACCACTTTTTTGGTTAAGATTACAACTTTTTTGGTTAACATTACAACTTTTTTTAGTTAATAGTACCACTTGTTTGATTAATATTACCACTATTTTGATTAAGAGTACCATTTTTTTGGTTAATATTACAATTTTTTTGGTTAACGATATTACTATTTTGATTAAAAGTATCATGTTTTGGATAATATTACCATTTTTTTAGTTAAAAGTTCTACTTTTTAAGTAAATATTACCACTATTTTGGTTAAGAGTATCTCTGTTTTAGTTAATAAAAGTTAATATTACCACTGCTTTGATTATGAGTACCATTTTTTTGGTTAACATTACCACTATTTTGGTTAAGAGTATTACTGTTTGGATAATATTGCCACTGTTTTTGTTAAAATTACCATTCTTTTAGTTAACAGTATCACTGTTTTCGTTAAGAATACCACTTATTTAGTGAACATTACTATTGTTTTGGTTAAGAGTATCACTTTTTTGGTTAAGATTACAATTTTTTTGGTTAACATTACAACTTTTTTTAGTTAATAGTACAACTTTTTTTTATTAATATTACCACTATTTTAATTATGAGTACCATTTTTTTGGTTAATATTACAATTTTTTTAGTTAACAATACTACTGTTTTGGTTAAGAGTACCATTTTTTTGGTTAACATTATCATATTGGTTAACATCACCATATTTTGGATAGTATTATCACTTTTTTAATTAACGTTAGTACTGTTTTAGTTAAAAGTACCACTGTTTTGGATAATATTACATTTTTTTGGTTAATCTTACCACTTTTGGTTAAGCGTACCATTGTTTTGGTTACATTAACACAATTTTGGTTAATTTGGTTAAGAGTGCCACTGTTTGGATAATATTACCACTGTTTGGTTAAGATTAACTGCCACTGTTTTCATTCAGATTAATACTTTTTTGGTTAAAGTACAACTTTTTTGGATAATATTGTCACTATTGGTTGACATTATCATTTTTTAGGCTAAGACCACTTTGTGTTTAACATTATATTTTTTGGTTAACATTAATTAGGTTAATATTACCAATCTTTCAGTTAAGATTACATTTTTTTTGTTAAGGTATCACTTTCTTCGTTAAATTACAATTTAATGATTAACATTAGCAATTTTTTTTTTGGGGTTAATATTACACTTTTTTATTATGAGTACTATTTTTTTGGTTAATATTACCATTTTTTTGTTAACAATACAACTGATTAAGATTACAGGTTAGTACCATTGTTAACATTACCATTTTTTTTGTTAATATTGTCACTTTTTTTTTTCAATATTAGCACTCTTTTGGATCGATCAAGAGCTTTTAGCAATCAAAATTGCGAATCACGATCGATCGAGAGCTGGGTAACGATCAAGATTCGGATCAAGACTGGAATCAAGGTAGCGATCAAGATTGGGTAGCGATCAAAATTGAGATTAAAATTGGGATTAAGGTAGCAATCAAGATTGGGATCAAGTGTGATCACGATAGTGATCAATCTATTCAAGTGCAATTAGCGATCGGGTAGTGATCTGGGATCAAGTATACTATTGCAATCAAGAGTAGCAATCAAAATTAATATATTTAATTAACATAACAAATTAATATTACATTAAAACATTTCATTCATTAACATTAAAATCAACTTAATTAATATTAAATACATCTAATTTATATCCATAATCATTCAATTAACATTTAATTTATTCAATTAACATCCAATAAAAATTCACTTAATTAAACTAACATTCAATTTCATCTCATTTATATTTAATTTATCAAATTAACTTTCATCTACCATTCAACTCATCAAATTAGATTAACATTCATATTCATCCAATTAACACTTAATTCAACAAATTAACATTTAAAATAAACGTAAATTAATCAAATTCGTCCAATTAACCATCAATTAATCAAATTAACATCTAAAACTATTTAAAAAAATTTAATTTATCAAATCAATTTTTTTTAAAAAAAAAAATTGGCATTAGGCCAATAAATGGATGAATGAAATTTTGACACCACAATAACCCAATTCCCGCCTAAATCCATTTCTGTTGGTTCTTCGATTAATTAATCAAATTAACATCTAAAACTATTTAAAAAAAATTCAATTTATCAAATCAACTTTTTTTAAAAAAAAAATTGGCATTAGGCCAATAATATATGGACAAATGGATGAATGAAATTTTGACACGATACTAACCCAGTTCCCGTCTAAATCCATTTATGTTCCTTCTTCGAGAAGCTTAGTAGCTTAGTAGGTTCATCCTCTTTCTTCTCTTCTGCTTGGGTTCATCGTCTTTCTTCTCTTTTGCTTCGGTTCCTCGTTCGTCTGCTTCGTATTTCTTCTCTACTTTGGTTCTTTGTTCAAGTCTTCTACAGTGGTGCAACCTCCTCCTCTTCTCTATTATTTGTAATCCCAGCTCATTTATAATGTAAGTTCTGTTTAATCATAGTCTATAAGTTCTATTGTTTAGCACAAAAAAATGAAACTCTTTTTATGGTTAATTGTGGTTCAGGGAGAAGAAGAATGAATCTAATCGGTCAACAAGCTCATGGTTTTTTTATTAGTGAGAGATTTGTATAATCTAAATACTAAACGAATTTTATTGATCTTATTTGTATGCCATTGATGATGTTATTTGTCCATTGTAGCAAAGATTGTTTGAAGACAATGAACGGAAAGGAAAACAAAAAACTCGGTCATGGGATAAGGGATATTATGTAATTCTCCACTATGTAAGGGATATGTTGCATATGTGTATGTATAACCATTTCATTCACTCATTCAGTTCATGAAACAACTTGGATTACAATGGAAGAATATGAAAGATTGTTAGAAAGAAAAATATATAAAGATGGCAAAGGCATCAAAAAAGGAAAAAGAGTTGTGCAAAAAGGAATCTACACAAAAAAAAAAGGTAAATCATAATACTAAATTATTTGTGTAACATGTGTTTATGTTGTGTGTTGTATAATGACAAATATTTGATGGTACAGTTGAGAACCAGATGTTCCCCGGGACTAATGGTGAAAGCAATCGAGAAGTTTAGCGATGAACAAAAAAATGGGGTTGAAGAGATTGGTTTCAGAGGTTTGTTAAGCATCAAATGCAAAATATTGAGGAGAGATTTGTGTGAGTGGGTGGTTGAGCACTTTGACCCTAATTCATGTTTGTTGAATATTCACGAAAAATCCTTAAAGTTCTCTCCTCAGGATGTAGAATCTATATTGAGGTTGAGATATGGGGGGATAGATGTGGAGACGAGTGGCCCCTATGAAAGAATAAATGGAATCTGTAATTCCATGTTCACTGGAATGAAGGATATTCCAGTGAACTATTTGAATAACAAATTGGTGAAATGAAGGTGGATTCAGAAGACTTTCGGCGTATCTTTGTCTTATTTGTACTTGGATGTCTATTGTATCCTACAACAAAGACCTCAATTAGTAGTTCATTCCTCTATTTTATGGTGGAGGTTGGTTCTTTGGGAGTGAAGAACTGGGCCAAGTTGGTGTTTGATGTCCTGATTGAGAAGGTGAAAAAATATAAGACATATGGACAAAACAATATTGGTGGTTGTCTACTAGTTCTCAAGGTAATGTATTGATTACCTAAAAGATCTTCTACTTAGTATTGTTGTTTTTGTTTCAAATTACGTTGAGAGTAGTTGGTTGTTATAATTTATTCTAATCGAGAGTAGTTGCTTGTTATAGATTTTTTATCTACAGCACTTGACAACCACAGGGGTTCCCCTTGTGCCAATTAAATGTCAATCCATTCTCCGCATTGGAGCATGTGATGATTTGAAAATAAAAAATGGTGTGGTTATCTTTAAGAAGTTGACAAATATGAAAGAGGTATCTATTGTTATTATTATTTGTTTATAAGTGATGTGTATGTATTTCAATTTCAATTTGATTATTAGAGTGTTAGAGTTATGATTGAGAGTTATTTATGTATGTTGTAGGTTCCAGTTGTAGGAATAGCAACAACCAAACTCTATTTTCTTATTCTTCTTTTTTCCCAAACTCTGTTGTGGCTGAGTTTTCTTATTCTTCCCTTGTCTCAAACTCTTTTTTATTGTCCCACCATTAATTGGATTCATGGGAGTAGAATAAGCATCGCTTGAGTGAATCACAACTCCACAATCTTCCATAATCTTTGAAATCAAAATTGGAAATGAGAGACATTTTCGACTATCATTCGTATCGTGTGCCGAAATAATTTAATCAATTATTAAACAAGGTAGATCTATACTCACACCCGTTCCAATGACATACAGGAGATAAGCTCGATCAAGTCCAAAATCAGCATTATGTGCAATTGGATGAATATTGTACCCCACTATAAGGTTTAAAATCCTATATTTAGGAGTCAGCTGTTGCTGAAAAAAATGATGGATCAGTAACACTCTCACTAAAATTATTAGGTATACCCTCGATTTCTGTATAAACATCTTCCAACTTATGTATGTGCTTAGAATTATTGAATGGATAAGAAAGTGTATCATCATGAAGGAAGGGTCGGTGAACTCCCAATATTTTTGAAACTAAATCTGGGGTTACTTCAAAACTCACCTTCCTCACAAGGGACTTAAACTTGTGATTAATTTTATCAATATCATGCAAGTTAGAATAAAATATCTTCAGCAATGTATTATATGCTTTATCCATCTTCTTGATATGAACTGAATAATTCCATCGATGAAAAGCAAAAATAACATCTAATCCTACATCTTTTAATTCATCAAGTACAACACCCCTCTCCAATAACAAAGGTCTATTATAAAAGCAATTATCATACCGATGTTTGCAATCATCATTGAAGAAATATATGTCTTCATTGGATGAACTTGTTGGATTGGGTTGGATTGGGATTGGATTGGGATTGGGATTGGGTGAACTTGATGTATTGAATGAGGGATCAACTGGATTGGTAGAGGTGGGATCAACAAAGGGATCAATTGGATTGGTGGAGGTGAGATTAACTACTGAGGACGGATCAACGAAGGGAGGATGATTACATTTCTTCTTCTTCGAGGGACCTCCCTCATTGCAGCTCTCCTTCCTCTTCATTTTTTCACTGGTATCAACTTTTGGCCTATACTTCTTGGTCATTATACTTTGTTGTAACAAGAAAAAAATCTACAATAACATGGAACATTATCTATTACTTTTGAGCAATAACAATTAACAATTGAGCAATAGCAATAAACCGTCATTCACAAAAAACATAATTCTCAACCACAGATATAATACTCAAAATAATTAATCAGTCAAGAATTCAACCCATTTCGGGTGATCAAGCAAAAAATGAACACAAATTATAGGGTAGAAACAACCTATGAATCAAGCCATTAAACAAAAGGAAAAAATATCCCTACTTTTAGGTTAGTATGAATAGATATCAAGCAATAAATTCAATACAATAACAGTAAATCAAAGAACTAAAAGAAACGATTTGAAATATATCATTTGATGGACTATGGCAGTGGCTGCGGGTATGGGACTCCATCTTTGAATTAAAGGCTTGAATGATTTACCAACTCAAACTTTCATTTCTCTGTTTTAATAAAGTGAACATTGTTCAAGTTCTTTTGAATCATATGTTTCATCATTTTTGTCTTCTTTCTTCCTTTTTTTTTAAAGCTTCGACTAAGTTCTCATTTATGTGTGTTCTGTGATAAATAGTGTGTGCTCTGTGTGCATCAAGTGTGTGCACAATGCACGGTGAGTGCTCTGCGTATGGAACACCTCTGTGGCATTTGATCGAACACTTGATGGACATTATGCAAGGTGAGTGTTTGGAAGAAAACAGAGGCAGAGGAGAGTGGCAATGGAGAGAAAGAAAAAAGTAGTGGAGAGAAAAGCAGAAAGAGAGAGCGAGGGAGAGAAATAGATAGTTTCAGCATGTACCTGGAATCAATCGCAGCAGCGGAGAGTTCCAATATAGAGTCCGTGTAGTATGAGCAGCAGAGAGAGATGAAGACAGCGAGAGAGAGCAACAATTGGAATCAATTGCTTTGATAATTCTCAACCCATGTGTACAAAATTATTATGAAATTGAGAGAGAGACAACTATGTATACAAAAATATGATAAAATTGAGAGAAAGAGAGAGAGAAGAAAGAACCTTGGAGAAGATGAAGGCGGTGGGAGTGGATTTTGGGTTTTCACCGATTTGGGGTTTTGGGTTTTCACCAGTTTGAGTTTTCACTGATTTGGGAGGTGGTTGATCTAAAAATGGTTGTGATTTAGGGTTTTGGTATGCAATCAGGTTGATTTTTCACCCATTTGGGTTAGATTTGGGATTTAATCGCTGATTTTGGGTTTTGAGGAGTTTGGGAGAATAGAAGACAAGGGAGTTGAGAGAGACTTAAGAGTCTTGAGTGATCACCTTAGAGACTTTGGAGTTATGTCTTATCTTGATCGCTAACAAAAATCTCGATCGCGTATATAGCGATCGGTAGCGATCAAGTTACAAAATAATTTCACTGAACTAATCTGGATCAAGATGTTACGGGCTAATCTCGATCACTCAAGATATGTCCAATAAATTTCACTTATACCCTTAATTTTAACTTAACCCAAAATATAACCCCAACAAATGGCAATTTTACCCAAATATTGTAAAATTTTCCTTATATTTTTATTTCAAGTTTAAATATGATAAATAACTATCATTTTTTAAAACTAATTTTAATTTCTATTATCACTTAAAATAGTGGTAAACTTAGATAATCTAATCTAACCTCCTAATATTTTTAACTTAATCTAAAATGGTATATTTAATGTCACTCAATTACTTCAAATATTGTAAATTTTTTCTTATATTTTTATTCATGTTAAAATTATAATAAATAATTATCATTTTAATTTCTATTATCACTTATTTTTAAAGTGTAACGGATTCATGTTTAAATTTTTTAAAATGTATAGGGGTTCATGTTCATGTTCACTTAATAACCTCAACTATTGTAAATTTTTTTTTATATTTTTATTTCATGTTTAAATATAATAAATAATTATCATTTTAATTTCTATTATCACTTATTTTTAAAGTGTATAGCGTTCATGATTAAATTTTTTAAAATGTAAAAGGTTCATGTTCACTTATTTTTAAAGTGTATAGGGGTTCATGTTCACTTATTTTTAAAGTGTATAGGGTTCGTGTTCATGTTCACTCAATAACCCCAATTGTAAATTTTTTCTTATATTTTTATTTCATGTTTAAATATAACAAATAATTATCATTTAAAATTTTTAAAGTATATACCGAAACCGGTGAAATCGGTTATAAATTTTTATAAAATTTAGAGTATATACGTGCCGAGAATCCGATTCTTTTAACATTTTAGTACGGTACCCATTTTGACGTTTTCGGTACCCAAGCCTACTCCGAGATTTAAAAATCTGTCATCTTTTGAGAAGAATATTCTGTCTGAGGAAACTTACAAGAAGAAGTACCCATGCTGCCATGCAGAGTAAAACTTAAGTACTTCCGGGTTACTCATCTGCTAACTACAAATATCATACTACTGAATTGTTCCAATTGACTCGATACTACTGAATTACTCGTGCGGATTCAATGAAGTAATATATTGATGAAGACGACTTTTTCTTAATCAGAACAAGGTTGAAAATCTAAATGTATATGAATGAAATCTTCTGTAATATATGTATACTATTTATTGTCTGTGCCTGAAGGCACAAATTAATAAAAAATGGTAAACAATAAATATATTTTTATTTATATCTAAAATTAAATTTCAAATATAGAAAAGAGATAAAAGAATTTAAACATCGATTTGTAATGAGGGTAAGAGATAGTTGACGGTAATGGCGGTGGTAGGAGACAGTAATAATTGTGGTGGCGACGACGACAAGGGTGGTGGCGGCGACGGGAATGACTGTGGTGGTGGCAGTGACAGTGACGACGACGCTGACAGCGATAGTTACGGAGGTGGAGGTGAGGGCAGTGGCGACAGTGGGAGTGGTGGTGATGGCGACAACGACGATGATGATGGTGGTTTGTGGCGACAGCGATGGTGGCAGTGAAGGTGGCAGTGACAGTGGTGGTAAAAGTAGTGATGGAGCTCAAAATAATTTTTTTTTTAAAGTGTTTATGAAAAATAATTCATAAAACACTTTTAAAAAATTATTTCAAATACACCCTTAGGGGCGTATTTTTTCATATTAAATTTGAAGTTTAAATATTAGTCGTTAAATTAATTTTAAAATAAAATTTAAAGCGATCTCAACCACGAAGAACAAAAGTCATTTTGTTTATCTTTTAAGATTTGAATTGTAAGTTACTTTATTATATTGATATATATTTTTTATTTTCCTCTTTAGTATATCATTTACCATGACTTTGCAAAATTGTAAAGAATGAATTATATTAGATAATACAGACTAATTTCATAAAAACGGATAAATTATAAAATTAAATATGGGTAAAAAATATTAACCATTAGATTAAGAGTGAGACAATTAAGTACAAATTATATATTGACACAAAAAATCATCAATATAATCTAATTATTCATATTTTTATTTATTTGATGGATAAAATAGTAAATTTATAGAATAATACGATTCAACTTAATTATAATACCGCCGCTTATTTAAAAATTATATATATCCAATTGCAATAAGTTAATAGATTTCTACTATTTTAAATGTACAAAATTCGGTTCGTCGAACCGAATTTTTGTGAGTTTGAACTCGAATTTATCAAACTTTTTTTTAAATGAGGTTAAAAGATTGTTCAAACTCAATTTATTTAGAACTCGAGTCGAGTCCAAATAGTTCGACTATTTTATATAAAAATGAGAGTTTTGTGAGTTTGAACCGAACTTTTAGGCTTATTTTTTTAAATGAGCATAAAAAATAGTTCAAGTTCAGTTTTTTTAAAACATGAATCGATCCCAAGTCTTTTTCAAGTTGAGTCCGAATAGTTGTTTCAATTAACACCCATAATGATGACCGGCAAGAAGCTGAGGCTGGCTCGCGTTCTTAAAGAACGTAGAGGCCTTTTTATGGGCTTAAGACTAATGAGAATGTATGGGCTTAATTCATAACGGGTCCACAATTTTATTGTATATAGATCCAACGGTATAATTACCTGGAACTCGTAGCGTCCACCTCAACCTCATAGTCTCAAACGATCTCAAGCCCAAACCAAATGAAATCCTTTCACAAGCCCACCCAATCACTCCATATTAAACTACTTGATAGACACCCCCCAAAAAAAAAAAAGAAAAAGAAAAAGAAGTAATCCTAAAAATTGAAGTATAAGATACACAAATGGAATAGAGATGGTAGTGGATTGGAAAAAAAAAAAGAATTTATCCAAATTTATCCCGTTTCTTTTAGAGATGAATCATATGTATTAATCAATGAATGTATACAATAATATTTGAATAAACCCGTGTAAAGATAAACTAAAACTTATCCTCACCTCATATGTACACACACATGCAAAATAAAGAATAATATTATTTGTATATAATTTGAATACCAAATGTACTTTGTGATCGTACGCTTAATAGTGAATTTTATTTCAGACTCGCATGTATTGCTAATTCAATGATCATAATAAATTAGATATTCAATTAATGAATAATATTAAAAATAAAATTAATCATAAGGAATAGAGATCATAATCAAATTAATTTAATTAACACGAAACTAGCTATATAAGACAGGAAAATAGATACACATAAGAATAAATTTAAAAGCAATTCGAGATAAATAGGATACGATTATTTTTTTAATCATAATAGGATATGATATGGGAAAGTTACAGCCTCATATTGTATATATATTTTTATTTACTAAAAAAGTGAAAGTGCACATATTTTTATTTTTTAATTTATATTATGTTATTATTTTTACAATCAATGAGTTTAAATAACAAAAAACTAAAGTTTATGGTAATAACGTTGTCATATTAAATGATCAAATTTTCATTTCAATATATTATTTTGGTTGCTTAAGAAATAAAAATATTTTTGAAATATTTTAAAAATAGAATAAAAATAAATAAAAAATATGGGATTTATTTCTAATATGCTAAAATATCTTAAAATATTTAAAAAATATTAGTAGATATATCAAAAAATAATTTAAAATATTAAAAAATACATCAATATATTAAAATTTTGATCCAATTAACAATTTATTTACTTAAAGATAAAAACATTTCAATAATTTTAAATATTTGAAAAATAAAAATTGACATCTCAGACAAAAAGCTAAATAACGACTAAAATGTTTGCCTACGTGTGCTTCTTGTGTGGCTCCAAAAGGCTTTCAAGGCTGACACACACACACACGAGCACCTCTACATACTGTCATCAAGCGACCTCATCATAATAAAATAAACCCCCAAAACCCAGAACAAGCACCAAACCCATGGACTCATCATCGCCATCAGTATCGGCTCTGCAATTCGCATTGGCGGCACTATTCGGAGCCTCGGTTGTAGCTCTCTCAGCTTTCTATGTCCACAAACGCAGCGTCGACCAAGTCCTCGACCGCCTCATCAAGCTTCGCCGCAAGTCCCCTCCTCCCGTCGAGGATCGCTTCTTCATTTCCGATGAAGATGCCGAGGACGAGCAACACTACACAGACGTTCTCGCTTATGGTGGAGAGAGAGACGAGAGTGATGATAGGGAGTATATGTGGAGGGATGGTGTGTTTACTTCATTGGGTGATGATAGTGTGATTAATGGCTATAGAATTTCGTGTTCGATGCCGAATGTTTGTTCATCGAGTGGGTGGATGAATGACGAGGCGAATACGGATAGGCGAATGAGTTTTGGAGCTAATCAGGCTTTGTCGAATTCTTTGAATAATCTCAGTTTGATCTCTTCAAATCTACAGTCTCTTCGAACTGATCTAAGAGATGGTACGTGTTCGGTTTGGTTGTTTATTGATCTATGCTTCGACAATGCAATCATTCTCTTCAGTTGTGATCTTTGTATTGTTCTTGAAGAAAAAAATAATAATCTGTGCCATTAGCATCTTAAGAATTGTCATCACGTTGGTTTTCCACATGATTTTTGTTTTAATTATATTTAATTTAACCTTAGTGACACGACCGTAGAGACTTGGTAAAAACTTATGCAATTTTTGGAGTTTCTAAGCGTCGCTTGGTATGTCACATGACTCGCAACATTTGCTCTCACTCGATATTGTGGTAATGCGGAGACAGAAGGAAAGGCAGACATGCCAAGAATCTTGTAGGAATATAACCTCTTCATGTAATCAATACGATACAGACATAAAATCAACGATGCTTATACCTATCGGATAATATAATACTTATTGTTTTCAAGTGCAAAAGCTCAGAAACATTTATTTAAAAATCTAATCATTGCATAGAAGCATGGCTCTATTAATTCTTCTTCTCTTCTGTTTTTCCTTCTTCTGTTTTTGTTTGTTTTTGGGGATATATTAGAAATAAATGCACCACATATGTTGAATAGCATGTTGTCTAAGTTCGGCAAAAGAGATTGACATAGGCACGATTTTTCTTCCTGCCTAAGATGGTGTATTCGACCTCTGTTTAGTTTAATTAATTTCATAACCCCACATCACATTTCTTCCACCCCCGTGTCACATGAACCTGACATCAAATTTGCTCAATAAACTTTATAAAGTTTGTATGGGCTGATATCAACTTCTTTTTGTGGCCATTTGTTTCAGCTTGGAACTAATTAATGTTGGTTCTGATTCATAAGCACAGGAATCAGACAAAAATATCATATGGGACCTGAATTGAAGAGAGAAGAGAGAAAGCCTTCCATAATTCTTATCAATCATTTTAACACTTTAAACCTAGATGTAGGTGTTTGTATGATGGTAATAGATGTGGACTGTAACCATTGAAAGGAGGGCTACAGCTGCATATTTTAGGAGGATTAGTTCTGTTTAACTTCATACTTCAACATTCCACACGTATTCTAAGATATAGGGTGGATATGTGATCCTGATGGATTGCTTTATTTAAATCAAAATTAATGGATATTATAGTTTTTATGAAATTGTCCGCTACCATCTTTCAATGCCCAAAATACTAATACTCTTGGGACGGCAATTAGAATGACATTAAATCACGTTTATTCATTACTTACATCATGCCAAATATTCTATGGATACATGTAAAGATGATCACAATTTTGCCTTGACATGGAAATGGTCAAAAGCAAAAAAATTCAATCCTATAAGTAATCAGATCTTACCCTTTGTCCTCATATTTCTTTGGATCTACATCTTCAACTTGTTAAATCAATGTTCAAATATTTTTGTTCTTGTGCAGCAAAGGATCAGTATGGTGATAATTCTGGTTCTAAGATGCGTGTGGAGTTTGGTGGTAGGCTAATGACTCCAATATCCTTGGGTGGTTATGCATTTGAAAGTGCGGGGGATTCTGATGAGGAAGGAACCGAATTTGAAACGGGAGACGAGTTCCTTTTCACCAATGAGAACATAAATTCTTCAGCTGAACTTGAAAAAGTAAGCCAATGCATGGTTCTCTTCTCTTTGATAATTAATATGTTTAAATCTCGATGCTTACATGATATAATTAGTACTTGAAGTTTTCCATCTCATTTGTTGAACTTAGGATAGATTATAGAGCTATACAAATGGGAGACAGAGATGCTATTGGTTTTAGACAGTGATGCAGGTCTTCCGACTATGGCCTTGACTGAGAGATATAAATTAGAAGAATTATCTGGCCACGACACTAATGTAAAGTTCTTCATCTGTCTGGATAAGTCATGATTCATGACAATGTTGAGACTCGAGACATAACGATGAATACATTTGTTTTCTGGATTGATTGTCTATATATATTTGAAATCTTTAATTAGGCAGTTTTTTTGAGTCCCCAGTTAAAAGGCATGAAAAGAGAAATCGTTTTACTGCCCCATAAATTATTTGACTGGATCTAACTTCTAATATTTTTGGAAATTGATTCGTTCTAGCTATTTTTATCTCTTGTCATTTCTTATGCTAGTTCTGTTGCTTCCAAAATGATAGAAAGAAGTACCACGGAGATTCTCTTCAGCCCTTCATAAGTTTTTTGATGCTTTGTTGCAGGATATCAATTCAAGCATCCATAATCCATCCAATGTACCATCAAAAGCTGATAATGTGAACCACATGCAAGTTCAAAGATGCACATCAATTGCAAACAAAGAAAATGTCAGTGTAGACCATGGCGATGGAAAGATAAATACAGGATCAGTGCACGTTATCGGGAATGATCCCATGTTTGCCAGCAGTACTGTACCTTTGACAATTTCAGTCCATGGTATTCTCAACTTCCTGGTCCTAAAGAGTATTTGTCGATACTTCTTTCTTGCATTTTTGCCTCCCAGTTTTTAAAGATTTAGGTCGTTTGGATCAATTATTAATTTGATAGCACATTGGTGGCCTGCTGCTATGGTACGTCTCCTGTCAATACCATAATTTTCTCCTGCTCAAGGTGGCAAGTTTTTCCATTTGATCAGTTGTTTAATTGTTGGCCTAAATTGTGTGTGCTTGTCTTAGTTATGTTGTCTCATCATAATGCTTAATATTTAATTCCATTTCTATTCCCTGCGGAAATTATTGAATTCAGAGTCAACAAACATCGAAGATGAACAAGTGCTGAAGATGATCCGTGAGTGTTTAGATCTGCGGGATAAATATGTTTTCCGTGAAAAAGTTGCTCCCTGGATGCAGGAAACTGGGGGAAAGTCTAGCCCTTCAAATGTCAACAGTGATCCATTTCACTTTGTGCCTTTTGAAACAACCTCTGTGAGTTGCCCGATACTCATTGATATCTGTATGTGGTCTGAGGATTGGCTTCGTGTATTTGCATTGCAAAGCTTTCAAGTGAAACCATCCCTTTATTGCTTGGGCATCTTTTTCTGATTTGTTTCTTCATTGTGCAAGCAGCACTGCTTTAGGATGGAAGATGGAGTTGTACACATCTATGCAAGGGAAAAAGGTAAATTCTGCAAACCAAGAAGAGTCCATTGCTGTAGAGCTAGGTTAAAGAGTATACTGTTCCCTTGGATTATTTAGTTTGCTCTTTATAGAATGTTCAAGCATTCTGTTGATTTTAAATTTTATTCTTTTAGATACTGAAGATCTTTTCCCTGTTGCAAGTTCAACGACTTTTTTTACGGATATGCATCACATCCTTAAAGCAATCTCCATTGGAAATGTTCGTTCTGTGTGTCATCTCCGACTAAGATTTCTTGAGGAGGTATTGTTCTTCTTACATTGTTCTTGAGACCTGCGGTGATCATATTTTTTCACCTGCATTTCTGACTTGATATAAAATATTACACAGAAATTCCGCCTTCATCTGTTAGTACATGCAGATCGAGAGTTTTAGCTCAGAAAAGTGCACCCCACCGTGATTTCTACAACATTAGAAAAGTTGATACCCATGTGCATCATTCTGCTTGTATGAACCAGAAGCAACTTCTTCGCTTCATTAAGTCAAAATTAAGAAAAGAGCCAGATGAGGTACAATATGTATTTCTTGCTAGTTCTATTGCCCTGTTTCTTTCAGTTGAACACTGTTTCGGACAGATTTTTATTATTATAGTTTTGTAAAGTTCATGCTCCTTAATTGTGCTCTTGACTTACTTTCTGCAGGTTGTCATATTCCGTGATGGGCAGTATCTTACGCTTAAGGAAGTCTTTGAGAGTTTGGACTTAACAGGGTGTGCTCAAATTATGTTCCTTACATCTTTTTCTTCTGAGATTAGAAGTGGAGATACTCTCTCTCTCTCTCTCTCTCTCTCATAATAAGCAATTGCATTGCAGGTATGATCTTAATGTTGATTTGTTGGATGTGCATGCTGATAAGAGTACCTTTCATCGATTTGACAAGTTCAACCTGAAGTATAATCCTTGTGGCCAGAGCAGACTGAGAGAAATCTTTTTAAAGCAGGACAATCTCATCCAAGGTCTGTTGCATGATGAAATCAAATGTAACATCTCACAATTGATTATATCCTTTAGACTCTGACAAGTTGCATGACAGTTAAGAGAGTATCAATTTACTATTTTGTTTGATTTGATCTATTGGTTATCATATAAGCATACCATATTATCAAGCTGATTGACAAAGATGCTTGCTAACTAGGAATCTGCATTTTGCTACTTGACTAAACTCATCTGTTTTATTGTATAGATGTTTTAGAAAACAAAGGTCAGGACAGAGAAATTATTTATTGGTTTTGATTAATTGAGATTTACATTTCAGGTCGTTATATAGCAGAAGTGACAAAGCAGGTTTTATTAGATCTCGAAGCAAGTAAATACCAGGTGTGGTCATTTATTGTCTTTCAAACTTTATTTGGAGGAGATATATGTTCTTTGGAAAAGGACAAGAGACAATTTCTCTTCCTTGTGGATAGAAGGTGAAGGTCAACAAAAGCTTCAGTATCAAATATTTGATTGAGAAACAGCAAGTAATGCAAGTTAACTTATTCATTATTTGTGGAAGGGTTCCCTAGCAAGAACTATCTCCAAATATACATGGTTCTTCAAATTCAAATTACATTACAGTTTCTCAATCAATGAGGTAACGTGACACCTCGCAGTGGATATTAATGATCATTGACAAAAAAGCTTTTTGAGTAACTGGAGGCTTCTGCAGAGCAATTCTTCTTCTTGATCAACTAGAGTTTCGCATGCAGTGGTTGTTTGATGCATAAATTTTCCTCACAATTGGGGATTAGAAGTGTTTATACTTGTCAATTGGGGAACAATTATAGCAGTGTACATCACGTTAAACTTTAGATTTGTCTGGTTCATGTTATCATTGGATCCTAATTATGTTTGTGGGTACTGTGCTAAGAGAGTTCCAGATTACATTAAAGAATTTAGGAGCAAAATCTTAATTGTAAGCCAGATGGAAAATTATGAAGCAACGTCTCTCATACTTTTGTTTAAAAAATATTCGAGAAAAAAATCACAACACCATACTTCCATAATTCCTATTAGTTCTTGGATGCGGTCTAAGAATATTAAGGATATCTTAATAATTTCATAGTTGTGGTCTTTGGGCTTGGTCTGATGGACTTGATTTTGTGTCCTATCAATCATGATAGGTGTAAGTTGCTTGAATTAGTGGAAATTAACATTTTAGACCAAGAAAAATCCTTCCCGCCTTGAAATTTGCCTGAAGTTGTTCCTTTTTTTTTTTCCCACTTCATTTTGGTTTTCTGAATACACTGTCTATAATTGAGAATGCCTAAATTTTTTGATTCTGAATTTGCCTTAGGTGGTCCCAATCTGGCATTTTGAGATTTGTTGCTAAACTGATGAAATTGTGTATTTTTCCTTGGGTGAAAGACATGAAGAATCTCTTCCTGTAGGAATCAAGATCTGTCAAACCAATTTTAATTTATTGAATGTGGACGTATTTTATCCTTGTGCATTTATTTTCTATTTGGCACCACCACTGGTGTAGTTGGTATTTGATATTTTCCTTAAGTAACAAATTGTGTTGGTGAAACTTCAAACTTAAATTTAAGGATTCTCTTTCTTTATGTGTTGGCATTGATTAAGAATGTATCTTCTTTTTTTTTTTAATTGTGGATCGATTCACCTTTTACGATATCTATTTACAGGTTAATATTTACCTGGAAAACAGATAGTTTCAATCACAAAATGAAAGAGACACGCACTAGGGGTAGGCTTATGTAGATCGCATTGGAGGAACGTGATGAGGTGTTTCTACATGTTAAAGTTGGTTGATGATTATAATTAGAATTCATAAGAGTTCTTGAATTTCTTCTTAGCCTCAACCTTTAACCACACTACAGTTTATTGACTATCTTTTGTGGTACTTCACATAAAATTGAATGCAAAGTGAAAAAATAAATTTTGGAATGCTAGATTAGGGTTCCCCCCCCCCCCCCCCCAAGGAGTTAGGTTTAGGGTTATTAAACATTATTGCATCATGTTTTGGATTAGGCAAATGAAAATGCAATTCGCCAGAGTATTACTGTTTGCTGGTAACAATGCACAATGCATTACTTGCTCTGATTGGGCTCCAAGTAGTTCACTCTATACTTCACCAAATCTTAGCAATGTTTATCTCTAGAATTGCTGGTAAAAAAGGGAAATTTATTAATTATGAACGTTGTCACAACTACAGTTTTTGCTGATTCTGATGTTGCAGTAGGTTATTTGCAACAACTTCTTATATCAGCATTCTCTGCTTTTCAGATGGCTGAATACAGGATATCAATTTATGGAAGGAAACAGAGTGAATGGGATCAGTTGGCTAGTTGGGTCATTAACAATGCAATTCATAGTGAAAATGCTGTTTGGTTTATCCAGGTAAAAGACAATTTTTTTTGGAAGATGCGCATCATATGTGGCTCACTGTCCATTCGCATTGCTCTGACTCTCTACATTCTCTTTTGCTTCTGCTTCAACTTAGTTTCAACAGATTTATACATGCCTCGAATTTAAGAATTCAATAGAATGGTTCTGATACAATTTTACCTTCTCATTATAGTTATTTTTTTTTTCTGAATGACTTCATTTGAGTAGTGATTCAAATGGAAGTGGATGGACAACTCAGTGTTCCTTGTAACAAAGGTGATGTTGTGATTGGGATAAGAACCTGAAGTCATTTTAGGCTTTGCATTGTATCTATACATGTGCATTATTTTTTTCCTAGAATATGCTTTTCAGCTCTGCAAGTTTCATAAGTTTCTACGTATTTTGCTAGTTTCTGATTGTGACTTCATTGTGCAGCTACCACGGCTGTATAATGTGTACAAGAATATGGGCACTGTTACATCTTTTCAGAACATCTTGGATAATGTGTTCATACCACTTTTTGAAGTCACAATCGATCCAAATACTCATCCTCAGTTACATGTATTCCTAATGCAGGTTTGTTCACGTTTAAAAGCTTTGTCTTTGCATCTCATACAATCAGTGAGTTGATAATTATGGGAACTTTGGTGTATTTAGTTAGCAGACTGGCGTAAATTTGTGGTAGACAATATGTATCGTCACTTATCTTGTGTATTCAGCGTTATCAATGGTCTGCATTTATCCTCGTTTTTTCCATCTTATAGCAATTTTATCTGGGACTGCTATTCAACTAACCATTTGATAGGGACAGCATCAGGCTGTCCGTTCCCAGGTATAATCATAATTCTAACCTGTTTTTTGAAACTGAATTCAAATTAAGTACAATGAAGAAATTGCATGTAAGGAAGAGTTAACTGAGTTGAAAAGCGTCTACAAACAAGGATAATTTAACAACTAAGCTTTGCTGAAGATTTTAAGAATTTTAAAGCTAACAGCACATAACTTGAAATTAATATTGACAATGTCGCGTTCTTTTGTCCGATTGTGCTATTTCTTGCAACTCAAGAACGAGTTGTGAGAGTTTCTGAAACTTAAATTTTGTACAAGGTACATTTGTGATGAAAGTTCTGCTGCATGGCTAATGTGCATGCCTTATCAGTGCCTTAGCTGGTACCTAATTACTAGTTTGGATACTAAGATTTTTCTATTAGATCTGGCATTTCTTGAGATCTATTTCATGATGCTCAAGACTTTCTGAAACTGCTATAATATGAGAAATTGTTAGCGACAATGTGACATGATTTTGCCTCATTAATGATTTTGGTCAACATTTTTCTTTTGACTGGTAATCTGTACATCGCATGGTATTGCTAATCAGTTTGTTTTATCAAGGCAGTTCTGTTCTTTTTTGTTGCAAGGCTAATTTAATGTGGATCCTCTGTCTAGTGTGAACAATGGTGGCATTTATTTGGGTGTATTTTGAAATTGAATAGCAGGATAATGCACATAGAACTGTTGCTTAGACCATATTTCATTCTTCTCCATCTTTCATGAGGCTTCCTGTTATTTAACTCACCATGTCACCAGAGAACACATTATATAAGCCATTAATTACATACACAACAAAAAATGTTGCCCTTGGGTTTGCGGTCTACGTCTAGTGCCCAATGTGATTCAGCATTTTTCAATGCAGGTTGTGGGTTTCGACCTCGTAGATGATGAAAGTAAACCAGAAAGGCGTCCTACCAAGCATATGCCCAAGCCAGCTGAATGGACAAATGAGTTCAATCCTGCATACTCTTACTATGCTTATTACTGCTATGCAAACTTGTATACTCTCAATAAGGTTTGTAGGCTACCGAAATCTCATTTTGTCATTGTTATGAAAAATGTTAGTATGTGCTGATGCACACTGTTAAGCGTATCCTAACAATTGACTGTTTAATTAGTGCCTAAAAATTATATGTTTCATGCCATGGTGGTATTCGTTATTGCAGACCTGAAATGTCTAGGAATTCCAATTGATGACAACCTTAGCATGGTCAATTTATCTGAAGTGTCCTATCAAAAAAATATTTATCTGAAGTGATGTTGATCAAATATTCAGCTTTACTTTGTGTCACTGCCTTGAGTAATTTTAACGGCATAGTGCCTGGAGTTCTCCTTGGACATTTTCCCTTTATTTAGGCCTGTTAAATTACTAGGAGTTCTCTTTGGGACTATTTATATATTGCATTCCTGGTGCTCCAAAAAAATTTTAGTGTTTCCTCAATGGTAGCATGGTATGCCTGGTAGTGAAATCCCAAGAGTGAGATTCTATGGTGTCTGGAATAATTCATATTGTAATTCACATGACTGAAAACTTGACTCTTTTCGCTGCAGGAAGGGATGTTTGGAATTATTTTCTTTTGTTTATATTATCCATATGTTGTCAAGAACAATATATCGAGAACCATAGTTATCAAATCGTGTATCGGAAGGCGTATCGTAAGATACAAATATTGTATCGTATCGTGTATCGTATCGTGTATCGTAAGATATGATGCAATTTTAAATAAATAATAAAAAAATATATATACCTTTGAAAAAAAGTCATACACTCATAAAAAATATAGCATTTCATTAATACTCCACCAACTATTCAAGTTATCAACATAATCCACTACTATTATAATGCAAAGTTCACAACCATAGTTCACTAATTCAAACTTTAAACACCAAAGAGACTTCTAATCCAAATTTCTAACATCCATTTTGAACTCAATCTTCAATTTCAATTGAAAATGCATCATCATCATCATCATTGTGATCGGATGCCAACAAGTCTTCACTTCCTTTATCATCTTCAACTTCTTGTATTTGTTCATCCTCATCCTCATCCTCATCCTCATCCTCATCTTCAAGTTGAACTATTTGCTTTCCTTTTTTCTTGCTTAAAGTAAGATTTCTAGGCCCTACAAAGCAACCAATACAAAATATAAAAAAAATAAAATTCAAAGTAATGGAGAAGAAGAAAAAACAACCACTACATTTTAATTACCTCTCTTTCTCTTTTTGCTAGTCCCTTCTTGAACCTCAAAACATTCACCAACATTCATCCAAGTAGTGTCCTCAGGAAGGAGTGCATCTTCTTTTTCAGTGATCCACTCATCATCAGATTCCATATCTGAGAGAGAAATAGGATCATAGGAATCACCCTCTAGTATTCTCTTTTGGTGTCTTGCCTCCAATCGAAGATTGTACTTCACAAACACAAGTGCACTTAATCTTTGTTGCTCTAATCGATTTCTCCTCTTAGAGTGCACCTGGTCAAATGTACTCCAATTCCTCTCACATCCAGTGGCACTACAAGTCAAGCTAAGGACGCGGATAGCAAGTTGTTGCAACTCTGGACAACATCCTCCAAATGATTCCCACCACAAGGCTATAAAAAATTACAATAGAATACTCTATTAACTAACTTAAGCAGTTGCATTCAAATAACCAACTTAAGTTAAGTTACCACTAACCAGGTTGTTTCTTCTTCCTCATTTGGATTGCCATGTCCATTCCAAACATCAAATCAGCATTATGAAAGATATCTAATTGTTTATCAACTTTTTCTCTCATAATAGGACTTGGGCACATTCTCTGAATAGTCTGATATAGTCCCATCTTTATCTCATAGTCCGCACTACCGGTGTAATGAAACCTGAAATAATTATTTTGATTTACAATGATCATTGATTAGCATACAATATATAGATATAAAATGATATAAAAATTGAGAAAATTAAGTCTTACGCGGGATTGAGATAATAGGCAGCTGCATGAAGAGGTCTGTGTAATTGCATGTTCCATCTAGTGTCAACAATAGTCCATATGGGCTCATAGTGCTTCTTCACATTACGAAAATTCTTTTGGATTTGTTCCTTTGCCTTGTCCATTGCCTCATAAATATACCCCATGGCAGGCTTTAGATCCCCATCTACAAGCCTCAACACCTTCACCAATGGCAACACACACTTCAAGCAATACTTGATTGATCCCCAAAAATTTTGGTCAGCTAGTATAATATCCATCACTTTTACACCATCTCCCTTCTTACAATATTGACTTCTCTGCCATTCCTCAGAAGCAAACATTGCTCTAAGCCCAATTTTATTTTCAAATAAACTCCTTAAAGTTAAATATGAGGTGGCAAATCTGGTCACACAAGCTCTCACCAAATCCCTTTTCTTTGTATACTTTCTCATAAGATTTAACACCCAAGAATGTCTATAAATGTAAACTGTGATTTTCCTTGCCTTTGACATTATATCCTTGTGCAGAGGAAGGTCCCCAATATCCGTCAAAATGAGATCTAGACAATGTGCACCGCAAGGAGACCAAAACAACTTTTTCCTCTTTTCCATTAACAACTCCCCAGCTTTTACATAAGCCGATGCACTATCAGTTACAACCTGAACAACATTATCCTCACCAATCTCTTCTACCATTGAATCTAAAAGCTCAAAAAGATTATCCGCATTCTTACAAATACCTGAAGTATCAATACTTTTAAGAAACACACTTCCTCTAGGACTATTCACTAAAAAATTAGTGATAGAGCGATGTTTCCCATCAGTCCATCCATCAGACATAAGAGTACAACCCGTCCTTCTCCACTCTGCTTTATAATTTTCCATCAACCCACCATTAATCAAATTTGTTTCTTTTTTCAAAAAAGAACATCTCACCTCATGATACGATGGAGGTTTCAATCCCTTACCAAACGATGCAACAGATTCTAACATTCTTACAAAATATGGATCCTTTACCAAATTAAAAGGAAGGGCATTAGCATAAAAACATCTACAAATATCCAAGCATACATCTTCCCTACCCTTTTTCTTCAACATAGTATTCAAAGTAATTGTGGTGGTTGGCTGTATTTTATCAGCAGTAGTACTACCCACACTGCCACTACTTTTCGAATCCACAAGACTCATATCTTTGCTAATTGCCCTATCATCCAATAATTGCTTAAAAAATTCAGTTACTTCCTCAGGGCAATGCTTACACGCTGCTACATCTTTGCGATTACTTGCCAAATGATTTTTCATTCTTGAAATGCCTCCCCAATAGACATTTGCACAATGAATGCATTTCAATTTCAACCTTGATCCTTCTACTTTGTCACAATGTTCCCATGTGGGATCATTAGCAAGTTTTTTAGTCATTTCTATATGAAAATTGGATGCAGGTGATGCCACTGTTGCACAAAATTAAAATTAATCAAGATTCAGAAATTTTTATACAAAAAAATTTATATACATTTGGCTTTGTAAATAAATTAATATCATTACATACTGCACAGGACCAACGATCAATGGAGACTGGGAAGAAGAAGAAAAAGGAGTACCTGGAGAAGGAAGAAGGCAGCGATCAACACCCACAGTCGGAGACAAGCAATCACCCACAGCGAGCAATCACCCACAGCAATCACCCACAGCGAGCAATCACCCACAGCAATCACCCACAAGCAATCACCCACAGACCGGCAATCACCCACAGACCGGCAATCACCCACCGACAGTTGGAGACCACCCACAATCGATCACCACCCAGACTCGAAGACCACCCACAGTCGAAGACCACCCACCCAGTCGGAGACCAGTCGAACACAGTCGAAGACCACCCACCCAGTCGGAGACCAGTCGAACACAGTCGAAGACCACCCACAGTCGAAGACCACCCACCCAGTCGGAGACCAGTCGAAGACCACCCACAGTCGAAGACCACCCACCCAGTCGGAGACCAGTCGAACACAGTCGAAGACCAGTCGGAGACCAGTCGAAGACCACCCACAGCGATCACCACCTACAAGTCGAAGACTTCCCACAGTCGATCATCACCCACCCACACACGTCGGTCGACGGCTGAAGAGAAACGACAGTCATCGGTCGATGGCTGAGAGAAACCAGACGTCGATGGCTGAAATGTGTGATATATGTGAGAAATGTGTGAATTTTTTTTTTGTAACCCTAACCACTGAAACGACGTCGTTTCAGTGGTTATAGGGAAACAAAAAAAAAAATCAACACACTTCAAACGACGTCGTTTTAAAAAAAAAAAAAAAAAAAAAAAAAAAAAAAAATTTTGCACGTATCGTGCGTTTCGTACCGATACGTATCGTATCGTAAAAACGTATCGTGTATCGGACGATACAACGCAAAAACGATACATAACACCGATACGTATCGTTTTAGGGCTGTATCGTAACGTATCGTACGATACGTATCGTGTATCGTACGATACTAACAACTTTGTCGAGAACCCTTAGCTATATGTTTCTATCTTACGGAGCATTTGTACATAGACTCCCAGCTTATTGGTAATGCATCGAGTGTTGTGATGCTGTCATTATGTTGCCTTAATCTCTCTGTGTCCCAGACATACATACACATACACCTACCCATACCCATACCCATACCCATACCCATACACAATAGTACTAGATCCACCCTACAGAGGGAGAGATCATCTGTGTTCTGATAGATCATGAAGAAGTCAGCTATTTCATATTTCTGGTTATATTTTTCTTTCAGCTTCGTGAATCAAAAGGCTTGCCAACAATTAGATTCCGGCCTCACTGTGGAGAGGTTATTCTAATTTTACCCTTTGGATCTCAACTCTCAAATTAAATTTCCTGTGTTCTTTCTATACTATGTAAAACATTTACAATCTGTGCAGGCGGGTGATATTGATCATTTGGCTGCTGGGTTTCTTTTATGCCATAATATATCACATGGGATCAATCTGCGAAAGTCCCCCGTCTTGCAGTACTTGTACTACCTTTCTCAGGTTGGTGGCTATACTAGGTTTGGCACCTATCAAGTATGCTTTTTTTTTTGTTCTCATTATGATTGATACCTTTCCATTTATCTTCTGTTCAGATCGGACTGGCCATGTCTCCACTGAGTAATAACTCACTTTTCTTGGACTATCATCGCAACCCATTCCCGATGTTCTTCCAGCGTGGCTTAAATGTATCGCTTTCTACGGATGACCCTCTACAAATTCATTTAACAAAGGAGCCTCTTGTGGAAGAATACAGCGTTGCAGCAAAGGTTTGTCCATTCCGTCTCTGCCAATGTTTACGCTCATGGTCATGGTTATGTTGCTTACAAAACCTTAGTGTTCCAGTTATGGAAGCTCAGTTCCTGTGACCTTTGCGAGATAGCCAGAAATTCTGTCTATCAGTCTGGATTCTCACATCAAGCCAAGGTGAGAAATATGAATAAACCGCAGTTTATTTGCATCTTTGGAATTCTAACTCTCGCTTTTTCACTTGTTGTAATTGGGTTAATTTCAGTGCTCTTAGAACATGATAGGTTTTCTTTTTGAGCAATGCTATAGGGACCTTATTTGGGGACCTAATGATGTGGCTTCAATGCAATTATTGGATTAGTTGTGAGTTCTAATGTTAGATGGAGCCTACAATCAATCTAATAGTTGCACATCATTAGGTCCCAAATTAGGTCCAAATAGCATTTTCCTTTTTTTTACCTATTTTTTGCTGTTAATTGAAAAATGTGCCAAGACGAGAACTGATTTTGAGTTTGAATACCTGACCTTTTTGATTTGAGGTACTTGAACATATAGATTTTACTTCAGTTATTGAAGGGGTTTACTTACCCATGATTTCGATTCCCCAATCAAACTTTAGGTTTGAATGAGATGCATGGATAACATTAAAGGGCCATAGAGCAGATTTGTTGGTTGACTTCACTTACTAAAATATCCTTTGGTATCACTGTTGCAGTTGCATTGGCTCGGCAGTAAATATTTCAAGAGGGGCCCAGAAGGAAACGATATTCACAAGACTAATGTACCCAGTATGAGGATTTCCTTCAGAGATGAGGTGAGTTCTTTAAGTTTATGCTTGTTCTCTTGTAGCCAGGTGGTTGGTGAATAACTCATCGAGTAGACAGTGAAAGGTTCAAGGATGAACACAATCCAAATGAGTCATCATCACTGGAAAGAAATTTTCTTAATTCATGGCAATCGAGTCTTAGTTAGCAATCGTACATTGGTGGCGTTTCTCTAGCCTGATAATTTTGAAGTTTTGCAGACATGGAAGGAGGAGATGCAGTATGTCTATTCAGGAAAAGCAAGAATTCCCGAGGAAATAGACGTTTGAAGGGGATGGTACTATACAAATAAGCCCATTTTTATTTACAGTAATTTACAATACTTATGAAATTTCGGTTTTAAATCTGGGGTTTCAGTATTTGAGCACAGGTTAGACATGCCCTATTTGGTGGCCATTGGCATGTCTGGATAAAGGGTCAGAGCTTGTGCGGAACTCCAGCAGCCATAAGGATGACTGATAACATCCTGCTAAAGTATGTGGTTCTATTTTGTTTTTTAATTTCCCCTCTTTATCAGCAATTTTGTGAGGGCCACTCTTGTAACATTCATATGGTGGGCAATCAAATTTTGATTGAATTCAGTGGTTCGATCTCACATTATTTTTGGCAACTATGCAAAGGAAGGGAAATTTCTAATTTCTTGTGCTCCCCTGTGTGTGTGTGTGTTTTTTTTAAGAGAAGGAGGGGGGGTACTGTTTAAACGATTTGTGCTTCCCTGACCTTCCCTCTGCCCCAAACCGAGCTAGCTGGATCTTTCATCAGTTCAATTTCTTTTTCTATGTAAGCATATCATTTGATACTGTTTCACAATACCAGAACCGATGCATCTTAATACGTTCCGAATCTACAAAATTTGAGTGTGGATGCATGTTTTTTTGTTTGTAAAAAGAGAAGCTGGACATGAGCTTCGCTTTTTACGATCTCAACTTTAACCTGCTCTTGATCTTGATTTTGATATTGATTTTAGTTATTTGATTATTATTTGGTGGATGTAATAAATGTCTCACTTTGTGGCTCTTATTGTTCCAATTTAATTTGATGATCCCCGAAAGAACTTAAATTTTTTTTAGAAATATGGCATGCATGACTAGTATCTTTTTTGGTAGTAAGAAGCAATATATTACTAAGCAGTCACGTGAGCAAATTATGAATGCAAAAACGAACACTGTCTTTGTGCAGAGTTTACACAAGATGGTCCAATATATATTTACAGGTACTTGATTTATCAGTGAGTGAGGTTGTTTTAACCCTATTCGCATTATCCTAAAGCTTTATGACTTCTTTAATTTTATTTTTGTTGGAAGACAAGAGGTCCTAAAAAAACATAGCAAAACGTTATAATATCGAAGTTTACTGTGCGGGATGATTTTAGCACAATAAATGATATGACAAATCTCATTCCTGTTGAGCTTGAATCTGTATAGAAAGTCACTTCAATGTGGGTTCTCTTGAATCTCGCACAGTGAACAGCTATGGAGTAGCAAGTAGGACATTAAGGAAGAATGGTGGTGACCAGTAATGAAATTTTTTGCAAATGATAAACTCTCAAGTAAGTTCTCGAACGGAGTTTTGTCACACAAAAAAAAAAGGGTTAGAAGAGCTGTTAGAGTATTTTTTGACGTGATTCTTCTGACGCTCAAGTCAATATTTGAGAAAGAGTTTAAAAACATTATTCTATTACTTGAGAAAGGGGTTGCGTATTTGAACTTTACGTTTAAAGGTGTTATTTATACCTTTCAATAGTGGATCAAGGCGGACAGCTAGGTTCCCTTAGAGGGAAAACACCTAGTTGGTTTGTATAGAGGATAACATTTGGTGCGCAAACTTTGATCAGAGTTCCTGCTTCTCCTTGCACCAAAAAGCTTTTGTAGGTTTTCGCTCGGGGTCTCGAGTATTTAATGCACACTTCTTGGCTCCGCCGAGCAATGAATACAATCCTGCCTCTGCACAACCATTTAATGTGCCTTGGGCATGGTTGTGCACGCGTAGGGGTATTTTTGTCAATCCCTCTTTTAATGAGTCAAAAATTAATAGTCTTATACATAGTACGTTTTTATCATTGGTCATTCAATTGTCTTTCTGGACATTCTGATTGTCGTGAAAAAACGGACAAATGACTGATAGTCAATTTCATTCTAAGTCATGATGCTTAGAATTGCTTTTACCTCCATTATAGATATACTTGTCTTAGTTTGTCTTTTCTTATTTTTTATGAGATTTCAGCTTATCTCTTTGTTGGGACGGGCATCGGGGTGACTGTTCACCAAATGTAGACGTTCTCCATACGTGCCGAGGTGATGTGGATAGTGCCAGAGGGGGGTAAAGTACTCGGAGGTACCCCTACGCTGAGGTAAACTAAATTTTGTCGAGGTCAACCCAACAATCCGGAGAAAATTGTCGAGTTGAGTCAATGACACCGAGGACACGTGTTGTCTATCCACTCGATTACGGAAACTATACCATCATTTACCATTAAAATGGAAATCACCAATTAGAAACATTCATCGGCTAATGAGATTGCTCGAATCGGAGGTCAAGATCTCCCCTTATCTCATTCTGCAGGTGAATCTCTATTTTAAAATTATATACATAATATATGTGTTTACAGAAATCTTTGGCGAGGAGATTTATTGAATGTTTATCTCTAATAATATCTACTCAATTGTCATAAAAGCTCAACTATATGCACCAAATACTAAAATAAGATTACATGAAGAGATCAATCTATTATCAAAATAACCATTCCTATCCATAAAAACTAGTGGTATATACGGGTAATTCTATTGTCTCATATAACACTTTCTCATTATGGTAACTTACATTCCTGTGTCTTGAAATTATTAAAAGTTTAGATGGAAAAGTGCATTTGAGAGAGAAGAAGCATACAAGTGTTGTAGCGTGCCAAAGTCAGAGAAAAAATTTCAACCAATATAAATATATGGATAAGCCAAAAGTATTACAAATATGAATGCCTCACAAACTACGAAAATTAGAGTTAGTTTAGTCAAAATTATTCTTTAATTGTGACACGTTTACTTTAGAACTATAAAAAAATTTGAATAGAAAATTTTAATCGAAACAAAATTTTAAAATTTAATTAGTTGATTGGTTTACTATTAACTTCAAAACTATCAAAAAAAATTAATCGAAACACAACTTAAAATTTTAATTAGTTGATTGTTTTACTAGTTGCTTAAATCTATATCTATATATATACCATTTATAAATATTCTAAGAAAATTTTTTGATTTCTTATTTTATCTTTAGTTTTTATTATAAAGTCAATGGTACTCAAATATTAGTTTCTTCTAATTTTTATTTTTTATACCGATTTAATTTCTAAATTCTTTTGAACTCTTTTATTAACAATATCTGATTTCTAAATTCTATATTACTTTCATTCAATTTTTATTTCCTACACCTATTTGACTTCTAAGTTCTTTTAGACTTTTTTTTATTAATTATATTTGATTTTTAATTTTTTTTAAATCATTTATTAGTAGTAACATATGATTTTCTATATTTATACGAAGAAATAAAGTTCAACCTATATTCTATTATTTTACCGTTTAATATATGGTATAGTTAATTTATTGGTATACAATAATATCATATTATTACAATAGTATTGCAATTTAGTCACTTATTTTTAACAAAAAAATATAATAAATTTATAATTTAATTAGGTGTACAAATATTTAATACTGACAATTTTACAATAAAGATTCATTATAAACAAAAAAAATATCTAAGGGGTCAATCAATAATTAAGTTTGACAACATTAAAATAAAAAAATAATTAAAATTATATAATTTAGTATTCAATTCAATTACACATATAATTTAATTTTTTCATGAAAAATTATTATTTAAATATAATCACGTGCTAGTATATAAAAGTAGGGATTTAAAACATAATTTATCAAAAGTTGCGATGGATACAAATTATTGATGGGTTAATCTCACTTTGTATTTCAAAAAAAATTTTAATTTTTAATTTATATCTTCAAACATTAAAAATTTTAATTTGTACTTTTAATAGTATGAATTGATAATAATATGGATTTTGTCCAAATCGTTGTTCAGTTAAATTAAAACACGTGAGTTGTAAGTGCTTTAGACTTTAATTTTTGTATAAATTTACATATTGTTGATTGTTCATGTGAGTCGCACGTAATAGGATTAATTTTTATTTGATTAATGAAACTCTATTTTCGATACACAAAAAATAGTTTCAAATTGATTACAGATGAAATTTTGCCGCAATGGATATACATCATCCTTATGTCCAAAACACTTGTATTTCATGTATTTCAATTTATGACGAAAATTAAGTGGCAGTTTATGGCAGTTTCACATTACTGCCAATTTATAACTGTAAAGGAATAAACTAAAATTTTTAATATTTGAGGGTATAAATTAAAAATTAAAGCATTTTCGGGGTACAAAGTGAGATTAGCTCATTACTTATTGGACTTACCACTATATAATGCTCGTTAATAGAATCCGAAACCAATCTATTCACTGTACTCTCTCTCTCTCCCCTGAGTCCTCTCCAACTCAGTTTGCTCTGTCCCTCAAGTCCCCTCTCGCCGCCGCCTCTTCTCTCTCCCCCAAACCCCACGCAAAACCCTCAAACCCCACTCTCAACAGCCGTCTAAGGCGGCGCAACCCCTTCCTCTTCCAAGCAAACACGAACTCTATCACCCAGAATGGCGACCACTGCAGCCTCCGATGTCAGCGACGGACCGGTCCTCTCTCTCATCAACAAGCGTATCCGTGCCCTCCGCAAGAAATACAACCGCATAATCCAGATGGAAGAGTCTATAGCCCAAGGCAAACCCATCAACAAAGAGCAAGAGGAAACTCTCAAGTCCAAATCCTCCATCCTCCCCGCCATCGACGAGCTCGAGAAGCTTCGCCAACCGCTCTCCGTTGCTGTCGACGAAGAAATCAACCTCGCCATCCAACGCCACCCAGTCTCCGCCACCGAATCCGCTGAAACTAAAGATCCAGAAGAAAATAACAGGAACAAGGAGGTCGAAAGTCAAGATGATGGGGTGGTTAATGATCTGTTGAATTTGCTTTACTTTGGGAGTATGTTTGATGTGAAGTCGCAGAGCGATTTCACGGCAACGATGCTGACGAAGACTCACGAAAGAGGGTGTTGTTTGACCTATGATTATGTGACTGATGATGATTCGAATGATCTGCTTGGTGAGAGGGACTTGGATTTCATCTCGATGCTCGGTGGTCTTTTGATTTCGCGGCCGGTGGATTCGAGTTTATCTCACAAGAATGCTTTGCAAAGGTGTATCGAGCATGCAAAGCTTTGGCTTTTGAAGTCTGATCAGCTCATTGAAGCAAATTCAGCCATTACCTGTATGAATTAGTTCTTCCAATTTGTCAATTTGCAAATTTGGGGATTTCCTTATGTTCTTTAATTGATGGTTTATTTTGTAGATTCTGGGTTGAGAGAGAAGCTGAATAAGATTATGGCTTCGGATTTTTTCACGACAACACCGGAGATGAAGGCTCCAGTAGATGTGGCGGCTGCTGCTTCTGGAAATTATGGGTCTTTCCAGGTGCCGGTGCATGGGTCACTCAATGTGCCAGTCCAAGTGGAAGCTTCAGTTGAGCAGTATCTGCAAGAGGTAAAATTTAAATTATTTGTGATAAGTAGAGACTTAAAATCAGCTTGTTGTTAATTGTTTTTGGGACGCTGTTTGGGTTAGATTGATGTGTTTGTGCTGATACATGTTTGATTGTGCCTATGGGGAAGTGCCATATATATGATAATATGGTCTTCATTTACTGGAAAGCATGCTACTTTGTTTGCGTCATTCTTATGGTGATATCTGTTTGTGTCTGCAATTTTTGTTATGGTGGCCACCAAGGTGATATGATCATATGATATCGTGTAGTATTGTTTCTAGAAAAATATTAAGGACAATGTGTTTTGTTTTTTTTGAGTTGGCAGTTTTTTTTTGGGGGGGAGGAGGGGGGGGGGGTAGCTTTGTTTCCCACTGAATTTCCCCGCTTGTAATCCTCTCTCATCAACTCTTCATGTCATGCAAGGCACATGTATAAGCCTCTTAGTCTACACTAATCGTAGGTGGAGTTTTGGTTTCACAATGGAACTAAAACTTCCCTGTAACGCCGTGGCCAGTTTGCTGTGTAGGCCTCGAAAGCAGCGGCTACATGTTAAGACCTGGTAGAGGATATTGAAAGGCGGCAAAACAGAACGGCTTTCCCTGGCATTACTCTTCTATAATTTGCATTAGCGCATGAATGATCAATAACTCGTTGGTTTGAAGATATGCCAGTACACAGAACAACAATTTAGGCGGCTTTACTATAAAGTTTGGATGGGGCTTGGTTTATGACGGAAATGTGCTTTCAATGGAATATAGGTTGAAATGAATTCAAACTGGATGGTAAAAGTTGAATTTATGGATCACTTCACATTCATGAAAAAATTCAAGCCTGAGGATAAAACTTGAATTTATGGAGCTCTTCACAGTCGTGGGATAAAAAATATAAGAATTGTAAATTGATTAAATACAAAATGTCAAAAACTTGGCAAAGGATAAATTTTGGCTTTATGTACATTCAGTTACCAATATATAGTATATTTAACTTATTGCTTTATACCCCAACTTCAAGCAGTTTATAATGCAGAAATCCTGTTTTATCGTTCTGGTTAATCTGAAACCATTTATTTCCTTTATAGGTGGTCTAAGTCATTATGTTATAATAATCACCTTTACAGCTGTACCCAAGCTTCATTTCGTCATATTGCCCTTTTAGTTGCCTCAGTTTGAATCAAATTGATTGTACATGCTATGGGGTTATGGAGTTGTGAACTGATGCAAACTGAAAGTTAGGGGTGGACTTTGCTTTTTTTCATCAAGTGGCTGCATTTGGAATTGAATTGACCCTGTAATAGTATTTAAATTTGTGGTCAGACAATTTGTATTGGAGCAAGCCTGTATAACACTAATCTTTGAGATTAATTATGTAGATATCCGTGACAGATCAACAAATTGTCGGAAATGTACTGTTTGGTGTATTATTATTCTATCATTTTCTCATGAGAATACAAAGCAACACTAGGCAACATTTCTAGAATATAGAGACAGGCATCTCAGTTGCTGTTGTTGCACAGCTCTCTTTGTCTTCTCTTCAAATGTGGTCGCTCCCTTGGAAATTTGGGTCTCCATTCTCGTACAATGTGTTGCATTGTGTTGAAATTAGGAACACAATAGGTACAGATGATTAGTTCATTTTAATTCATGCAAATGGTTGGTGCATCCTGTTAAAGTTGAAGTGGCATGATCTAAGTTATTTGAGTTGTAGTCATTTCGTTGGCAAAATGGATGATATCCATTTTTCTCGAAGCCCGTATAAGTTATAACTTTCCCTCTTCATGACTTCAATTTATGAGGGTTCTGTTGCATTTCTGTTCAGTTATTGCGGAAGTCCCAAACTAAGAACCAAAGATATGGTTATGACGTGTCGACATGACAAATTCTAAAAAGCTAGGACATGGACAGGGCTAGGTTTGTTAATTTCTTTCATTGTACATAACTACATATATACTCAACTCTATTCAACAAAGCCTTGTGTGTACATATACAAATAGATATATGATATTGGATATTTAATCCTTAATGATAATTAGATCTTATATTTAGTACTATAAGTTGAATTTGTAGATGAATCTTTAATGATTGTAAGATCTTATATTTAGTACTATAACATCAGTTTGTAGGCTAACAAGCTTTTTCCTTCTATGATGACCCATTAAAACATATATAACTATAATTTTTCATCTCAGTCTTCGAGGCCCTATTCTTTGGCAAAATAATTCTCTTATGCCTTTTTCACTAAGTTGTTAATAAAATTATAATATTAATAATGTTAAAAATCCCATATTTTTCAATGGTTTAAGATTGTTATACATCATGTTTCTAAGTTTTATGTGTTAACACTACTCAAGGGGTGTGTTTGGATCACCGGGTTGGATTGAATTGGTTTTCTTTTTTATATCCTACCCCATCCAACTCAAACCCACTCAGCCTATCCAACCACTTGTTTGGTTAGCAATTTTGCAATTTTGTGGGATCCATAGATTAGACCATTGCTTTTATATAATTTTTTACCAGTCTACCCATGAACATATTCAATCCAAGCCTATGTTTGTATTTCAAATAGTAACTAATCCCCACATCAAATTTTTACATAAATACACATTAATGTATGCTATTATTGTTCCAAATTGTTAATAAAAAAATAAAATTCAATACTAAACCCAAGATTTTGACGAAACCCACCCCAAACAAGGGAACGGTCTTCCTCACTCTATTTGCCCCTCTCTGTCTGTCTCTTTTCATTCTTTCCAAATTAATTGCAACAAATATATATTTAGACACACTAAAACTGTAAAATAGATCGGAAAAAGAATATTCAAGGTTGGATTGATGTATATATATATATATATATATATGATTATACACACACACGTATATATACACTGATGTTGTTACATCTAACTAACATTTATCATAAGAAACATAAACAAACAATCAATTTTGGTCTTGTATCACACAACACAAAAAAAAAAAAATTAATTTTACGTCAAAACATTCACAAAGCAAGAGGTTGAAAGGTGAAAATTTGGTATTGCATAACACAGTGCTAAAAAAAAAAATATGTGTCAACTAATTCACAAAACAAGAGGCATTCAGCATTATAGGTAAAAAATTTAACAAGTTCAATTAAATTATAATGAAAATTTTAGCATATTACAACACCAATTGTTTGAATAAAATAAAAAGATTTGAAATGATAAATAATAATTGTCAAGAACTCAAATTACTTGATCGAAGAAAGGGGTATTGAAAGATCATTCTAAACTGCGACTTCAATTGAGATGATATAATGATCGAAGAAAGGAGTTTTAACTTCTTGTGGATTTGTCGGCCTCGTGGATCAATATATAGCCTCAGATGTCGTCACCAACGGCTGGTAAGGAAGATGCTGTCGGCGATTGTTGATAATGAATACACTGTTGGCGACGACTGTTGACGGACGACGTTGGCGACGATGACTGTTGACGGTCGATATCATATGTTGAGAGTGACACAAATGGTTGAGAAGTGTAGAAGTGATCTAGGTTTAAATGGTAAAGGGGGGTATTATAGTAATTAGGCAATACATCCCATTGGTTGGGTTTGCAACCCTTGGGAGAGGTGAATTAATTTTAACCGGTGTAGGAGGGGTAAAATGTACTGTAGCAACCGAGTCAAGGTTAAACCAGGGATTTCTATCCAACCTCTATTTTGGCTTCCCAAACAAGGGACCGTTGCCTTATTAGGCTGTCTTTATCGGTGTTATTCCACTTCAACCCGTTACCCAAATGCACCCAAGAAGTGTTGGACACATTTTTATTTTTTTGTCTTGACACGACCTAAAAAGTGTCACAAAAAGTTGTTGAATGCATGTGTGCAAATTGCAACCAAGTTCTTAATTTCTTGAGTATGGATATGACCCAAAGTGTATCAAACATGAATCCAAGAGTATTCGAGGACTATCAACGTCAAGTGTCACGGAGACATAGACCTTCTTCTTAGAAGTGCCCATACTTCTTAGCTCCCAAATTAGTCTATTTTTACATTGTTGTTGCGTCTCTTTTAGGTGCTTATGGCTAAATCAAAATTTTATGACTCCTTGTATCAATTGAAAGTTCTGCTGAAACCCTATTTTTCATTTCCTTCGTTCTCTGCTTGTACTTGAATCTGCAAATTGTATGCTATATTCTGCACTTTAAGGTGATGCAATCTTGGTTCTATTCTTGTCAGCTTTGCCGTAATCTGTGCTAGCAAATATGATTCTAGCTTAATATTCGCTGTAAATCGGTCTGTAACAAATGCGAAAGGATATATACCAACACTGCTCTACTGTACATTTCCCTATCATAATGGAATATAACCAAGTTTAACCAGGGACAGTTTATGCTTTCTTTCGTTGTTGAAGGATGCAACGATCACGGTGTGTTGGTAATAGAAATTGTTGGAAGCACCATATGTTACTTGGTGACAATCAATAATTTCAACCCTTTTCAACATAATGTGGATATCCAACTGGCCTTTAATTGGCCTTCTTGGTTGCCAGGATGTTGGATAGAATTCTATCAGTCATCATTTTATTGCAGGGGTTTTGCTTATCTAGCAGGTTTTCTTCTCCTAGACATCATCATTCTTATGTGAACCTCCCAATGGGTGTATATATTATGTGTCTCCATCCCTCAATTGATTGTTATCCTTATTTTCTAACTGTTGAATTTCGATGCTAATGACATCTTCTAAGTTGCATTCTCACCTGATAGTCAATGATGAACTTTTCTGATTTGCATATACATCAAGGCAGTAACTCACATTATGGAGTGGGATTGCAAAAAATTAAAGACAAAAAAATGGGATAATTTTTATTTTCTTTTCTCATTTTTGTGGCGCACTTGATTGAATCTTCATTCTTTTGGCATAAGAATGTCATATTTGGTTATACTAGTTGCTCTCTTAACCAATTCAACTTTTTCGATTTGCTTCCAGCAGATGTTCTGGAAGATAATTTCTCTACTCACACAACAAGCTTCCTCTTTTCAAATGTGGAAATGCAATTTTTTTATCTGGGATGATAAATTCCTGTCATTGTTATTACTAATTTCCTCAATTGTGAACGTCTGTTAGGAAGAAGATGCTGCAAATTTCCAAGGGAATGAAACTTGTGATAATCAATCTAGTCCTGTGGAAGGACCGCACGAGGTGCTGTTTATACTTTCAAACAAGTTTCTTTAGTCCCTGTTTTTGTTTACATGTTTGATTGAATATGTTAGCCTTTCCCCCTGCAGGGTGAATTGGATGTTGGTAATTCCGAAGAAGTCTCACCCCAGATAGAATTGCTCAATCTGCATGCAGAAGTGGAACACAATTTAAGGGATGCGGAGTCAAAGGAGCAGCAGTATGCTCCTCAGAGGCCATATCAGAACCATAGAGGTGGTCGTGGTGTGGGTGGAAGAAGGGGCTATACCAATGGCCGAGGAGGTCGAGGTGGCGGCCGGGGTGGTGGGACCTACCAGAATGGTCGCAATCATTATTATGACCAGCCCGGTAACTATTATCCGAGGAACTACTATAACAATCGGGGAAGAAGTGACAGGGTTGCCGGTGGGAATTCTTACAGCAACCATGGCTCGGTAGTTCAAGTTGCTCATGCCCCAGCAGGTTCATGACCTTATAAACCTTCTATATCATTTGGGTGTTTCTAAGGTTTTCTGCTACTACTCCTCTTTGGTGGGTGGTGAAAAAGTTTTGCTTTGCATGAAATGTGGGTTGCTGTTTACAGATGCACCATAGAGAACCCCCCTTTCTTGCAGCTCCATGGATGGAAAATCTTTATTGAGAAATATTTTTTGGGACCTATGGAATATTTAAGCTACTCAAGAGCTATATGGGATTTTTGACTTGTCAGATTGTGGGTAGAAAGGCTTAAAAACATTAGACATCTTAATTTAGACTCATTGATTTGTGTGGATACTGACCTCACAGATTCTGTACCCTTGCTCTGTTCACTTCTTAACTTTTCTCATTGTTCAATGCTTCAGCATTTTGCATGCCTTAAGAATGCACAAGATATCCCTGGTAAACCCTAATCAAGCTGAGTGAGCTGAAATTGCTTGGGCATTGAGGGTAAGACTATGATATTAAGAGCTACTTTTCAGTATGGTACCAAAAATCATCACAAAATGAATGTGAGATTACACTTCAACCTGTTGAGATTATGATAAAATGCGGACACTTTTGGACCAATTATTACATTTTATGGCCGATTGATTATTTGTGTGTGTGTTTTTGGGAGTTGTAACTTGATTTTATTGAGTTGTAATTGATTTTTTTTTTCTTTGATATAATACTGGATTTGGTACCATAGTCTTGTTTGTAATGAAATAATTAAGTAAAGATGATACCATATAATTTGGATGCTCATCTTTTAGTGGGTTATAAAGTAAATGCAGTGCTTTCACCAGTGGGAGTATAGCATAGTGTTGCTGTAATGTAATACCCTAGCGGAATCACTTTTGAAAAGCAGAATGCCGAACCATTGTGTTCTTTTTCTTTTTCTGATCTCTTAAAGGTATGGGTAATCCCGAGAAAAAATACTAGTTTATTAGGGTTTGCTTAAACGGCTGATTGATTTAGCACTGGACGGTACTAAGGTGATATCATTATTACATTGAATGTTTTCTTTGGAGCAGGGCTTACATTTGATCATGCAATAAGAGTCGAATGACAATTAACAAACCATGACGTTGTTGATCTTTACGACATTTGTTAGTTTTGAGGATTTCCCCAAAAAAATATATACATGGTAACCTTAATGAAGCCATGTGAATTAAAATTGTTGGGATATTAAAATGTAATAATAAGTTACTTTTTTGCTCATACAACAAGTTACAATAAAATAAAGTTGAGATTTCAATTAAATCTGATGAGATTATAGTAAAATGTGATTGCTAGAGGTTGATTCCACCATTATAGGATTTGAGTCATGATTTGGTCTAATTGAGTTGTAATAGACTTTTTTTAAGTGATAACTTGACCTCATTTGAGTTATAATTAATGATTTAATTCTTATTTAATTTTACATGTCAATACGATCTTACCGAGAATCAAATAATTAAGTAGAGATTATACCATATAACTTGATGCTCGTCTATTAATTAATTTATTTATTTTTGGGATAAGTATCCTCACCTTTTAGTTGGTGCTAAAGTAATGCAGATGTATTATAAACTCAGACCTTCTGAGTTTGAATATTAACTATTTTTTGGTTACGAAATATTTATCTTTCGTGAATACTTTAGTCTTAATATAGATAACTTACTTTTGACCAGATTGGAGAAGAAATTAGGTCTAAACACCCCCTCACCCTTCAACAAAAAAAAAAAAATAATGCGATGTCACTGTCACCGCTATTCCCAAATGGAATCACTTTAGAAGGCAGAATGTCAAACCAAAGTTTTTTGTTGATCTCAAAGTACCATTGGCGTGATGCTTGGCAAAGCATTTCGGCAGTGGAGCACTTTGCTGAAAAGATACTCTGTTTTTTGGCAGAAGAGCTCTTCTCAAAACGATGTTGATGTATCGTGATACGACGTTATTTTGAGAACAATACATGATGCTGTACAACGGAAGATGTCGATTATCTCGTGGAGGGTTTACATTTGATCATAAAAAAAAGAAAGAAGTGAACAACATAAACCAATCTTTGGATTACAAAGCTAATGGTGTAAAAAACAGGGTATGAGAAGGTCGGAGTGTCAAACGATAAAATGAGTAAAAATGTAGGAGTTAACAATCACAAAACAAGTAAGGCAGAGAACAATACGAGTGACTCACTAAACTGAGTAGTTAGACTAATCTATTGTCAATGAGTCTCTTTCTCCTCCATGCGTCTATTCTCAATATTGATGAAGAAGGAGTGAGTTATAAAGGGTTCGATTCCTTTTTTGTAGGACATTGAATTCTATTTATACAATGATATGTTTTTTGTCCTTATTTAATATTAGTTATTAACTGTGCCCGAAGGTACTCTTAACATAAAAAATTTGTCAAGCAAACGGGAATCCAAGAAATTCTTAAATAAAAGAAATCTAAGGGTTGAAATGAAGAAGAATCATATCACATTAATATAATTCAAGAATCCCCAAGAACTTAAACTAATACCATTACAAAATTATTATATTATAAATTTCTTCATGGCGGTTATTTTTTCCACCAGAGAAGTGTTTATTTTTTCAACATTTGACTAAATAGAATAAATAGACTGTCTAATTTTAATAAGGAATATCATTAAAAACACAAAGTTAAACCACTGAATCTAGTCAAACGAATTAACCACGTTGAACTGCAAATTAAATTTCCAAAAAATGGAAAAAAAGCCTAACCAAACTAACATTGCCAGAGGATTTGCTTGTAATTGCGAGGACAATTGATTCAAATTCTCTACTACTGTGACTTCTCAGATTCTATATAAATATTATCACGCTGCAATTAAATCAAATCAACAAAATTAAAATTTCATCACTCAAAAAAAAATTAATTAACTAATCTTTTGACATTTTGGTGTTTATTTTGCACTATTCAAGTATTTTAAAAAATATGAACATTAGCAAGAGAAAAATAACGCAAAATAAGGAAAAAAAAATGTTATAAATGGTTTCGAATTTTTTTTTTTTTTTGGCAATTGTTTTTACTTATTTTTTTATTGGTAATTAGCTTGACTTTGACTTTTTAGTTTTTTGGTACAATTGCATCACTTATTATTTTTTTATTGGTGATTAGCTTGGTTCTGATTTTGTTTTGATGCAATTGGTATAACTTATTTTTTTTATTGGTGATTAGCTTGATTTTGATTTTTTTGATTTATTATTTTGGTGCAATTGGTGTGACTTGTTTTTTTTATTGATGATTAGCTTGGATTTGAGTAATTTTGAGTAAAAAAATTCAATTAGAATTGTCAAGACAAACAATGTTAAGAGAGAAAGAAAGAAAGAGTATGAGAAATAAAAGAGTGTGTGTCTAAAAGAAATATAAAATGGAGAGAAAGAATTATATGAGAAATGGGAGTGTGTCTAAAAAAAATATGAAATAGGGAGAGAATTATATGAGAGATGAAAGAGTATGTTTAAAATATCTGATAGAGAGAGAGAGAGAGAGAGTTATATACATATGAGAGTTGAGTGTATGAGATAAATAATGAGAGATGAGATTATTAGAATTGTAAAAAAAATGAAAATTCAATTTTGATTATTGGATCAAAAGTTAGGAAATGATCTGAACCGCAAAAAGTTCAAGACAAAAAAATATAACTACTTTATTATATAGATTGTGCGATCTCCTCTAAATTCATTGGGATCATCCGAGAATATTTGATCACTAGAGACAATCATATCCGTATGACACGTGATCCTCAAGAAGCGGTGAGGTGACATTCTTGAGGGAGGAGTTTGTTGTCCAAGATAAGATGAGCTTGTTGACCTCCTCTCCTTCTTATAATTATGGGATCCGAGCTGACTTGACTGTGGCCGAGCTGCTTGGATATTACTTGGTGATCTGAGAACTGGCTTGGTCATACTTCCATTGAAGATGTTTTTGCTTTGAATATGTGGTCGATCCGTTGATATATTCAGCCTTTTTTTTTTACCAGTATCTCTTTGTATAAATACCAGTGACGTCGAAATGTTTGGATACATATATTATTCCTTGTTACCCACACTACAATTTACGTGATTTAAATATCAGAAGACCTTTAGTCACCAATCATCGATCGTTGATTGTTTGTTTGTTTTACTTGTGACAGTAAAACCACGATAAGATTCATGTCGTAATACTTATTCATTTTGGCTTTCACTTGCGTAGTGGGGCTAGAAAGGTATAAAAGAGATTGTCCTCAAGTTTTCAAGTGCTTTTGGAGACTTTCCAGACCGCCCAAATTGCTTTTTTCTTTTTTTTTTTGTGTTGCCAGCCAAGCAAAATTAAGACAGAAGAGGAACATCTGCCCACTGTTCTCCATTTGGATTTGCCATTTAAACATGTCTCAAATGATCCCCTAGGAAGAGATTAGCTTGTTATGCAGGTCTAGCATTTCTCATGTGATAGAATATAACTGACAAGAATCAAAATTTCGTTTTGCTTCATAGATTTGGTCAATTTAAACTCATAAATGTTATAAAGACATTATGAAAACATAATAATGTTTGAAAATTTGATTTTAAAACATTGGCTAAAACATAATGAAACACCTCAAAATACATGTTTTAGATAGAAAACTTTAAGTATTTAGAGATGCTATTGTTATTTCTAATAAGACGGTTGGGTAATAGATCGCTTCTTCTAAAGCATGCCCCATTCGTTCTGCTCGCAACAATCCATTTAGTTCCTCCGGTGAAAAAATATTATGTAAGATTTTCTATACTCAATCATTGATTCGTTTGAGTTTCTATGACAAATAAAATATTTCGATTGTTTTTGATGGTGTAAACCAAATTGTATGAGTAATGAATCGTAATTATGCTTTGCTGTGATGGTGGTGTTATAATGAAAGAAATATTTTTTTTTAGGGGCTGAGAGGATTAACATAGAAGAAGTATAGTGGTTCACTAGTTTGGGAGCTCGGCTAATCTACTCTTTAATGGACACTCTTGCTCCTTGCCTTTCAATAATGATGATT